TAGTCCCATTCCTCTCTTCCTATTCCAAATATGTGAAGAAGGATTTTCGTATTAGTATAGGAATAGTTTGGAATAGGAACAAAAACTTTGGAAGAATATTAATTTTTACTGCATTGATTCTGTCTGCCAAAGAGATAGGGAGATGGGACCACCCCTCAAGTTCACAAACAGTGTGCTCAAATAGTGGTTTAAAATTTGCATTGAACAAGCCGTTAATACCTCTTGTTACTACCACTCCCAAATATTTCACTGAATTTGTTATTTTAAATGGGAAATGTGAGTATGAAAGGCTTTGGGCAGTTTCGTTGATCAGGAACAGTTCACTCTTTGACAAGTTTAACTTATAACCTGAGACCTCACCATACTTCTTCAGAGTAGACATTATGTTGGGGATGGATCCATAGGGATTTGTTACATATAAAAGCAGGTCATCCGCATATAAAGAGACCCTGTTTTCTACCCCTCCTCTATAGATTCCCTCATAGCCCCTGAGGGAGCGTAGAGCAATAGCCAGGGGCTCAATAGCAAGGCCAAATAAGAGTGGGGAAAGAGGGCAGCCCTGCCTTGTCCCCCGTTGCAGGGGGAAATAGGGAGATTTAAAAGAATTGGTCAGTACAGGGGCCAGAGGGGACTGATAAAGCAGCTTAACCCAGGTTATAAAATTATCACCAAGTTCAAACTTTTCAAGAACTGCAAAAAGAAAATCCCACTCAACTTGGTCGAAGGCTTTTTCAGCATCCAAAGACACAAGAACCTCTGCATGCTGAGGAGCCGAACCAGGAGAGTATAAAATGGTGTAGAGGCTACGCAGGTTAGAAAATAAAAAACGTTTTTTAACAAACCCAGTCTGATCCGGTGATGTGATTGATGGGAGAACTTTTTCCAGTCGCATCTTGGCAAACAATTTTGTATCCACGTTTAACAGACTAATTGGTCGATATGAACCCGGTTCTCTAGGGTCTTTACCTTCCTTTAACAAAACTGATGTAGAAGTAAAGTAAAGGCTTCATTGAAAGCATCAAGCAGTACAGGAGAGATTAATGTAGAGAAAGCTTTAAGATCCTTTTTTGGACAGTTTTTATACTCACTGAAGCAGTTTAAACAAAAATCCATAACCTATGTAAGTTTAAGGCTCATAATCATGATATATATCGTTTCCAGGCTTGGAGAGTAATGGATTACATGTAACTGAGTTCATCAGGATACAAACATAGTTTTTTGTTATAAACACACTGAGTTGAGGACATAATCTTGATTTCCATTTTCTTTTCTAATATTACATTGTTCTGTTCTGTCTCATAGAATACACTCACATCAATATTCATTATTTATATTTTGCTCTTGTGTTTATTTGCACATTTGGTGTTAAGGTAATCCAAAAGTAACAGAAAGTAATCAAGTTACTTTAATATTGTGATACTTGGATTAGGTTACTAACTAAATTTTTTAACAGGTAACTATTGATTGTATCGGCTTACATTGTTAAAGTAACTCTCCCAACCCGGATAGTTTCATACAACGGTCTCAACTCAAGATCCACTCACTATGATTCTTCTGAAGCTTTTAATTGTCTTTATTAGCTAATAGAGGTTGCTCAGTTGTCATGGAGATAGATCTGTTGATAAGATAAGATGTTCCTTTATTGATTAAAATTCAAAGCATATATATATAAACTATATAAATAAAGTAGAATATGAAATCTGTCGCTATTATAATTTAATCTATGTCACTTTAAGGACTTATTGTCTGTGTTGAATTAAATGTTAAGCATTAAACTTCGTTCTTAATCTTATATTTTGACTCAACGTACAGCTGTCAAACTCTAGTTTACAAGATCAAGGGTGAACATTCGTGCCTGGTGCACAATTAGTATGTCGTTTCAACCTCTTTAACGTTTATCTCTGGTTTAAATGTTGGTTGGATTCTATTGCAAACAGAAAACACTGCATGCCTGTATAGTACACTGTGGTCATAAACCCACTTTTACACACACACACACACACACACACACACACACATACATGCATATACACACATGCAGCCCTTTTATTAATTTAGCTGAATTTTAGAGCTGCTTGCCAAACTTTTCTAGTGCAATTAAATAAATCAGTGGTCCGAGAGAAATATGAGGTTAGGAATCTGTTCAGGGGAAATGATGACATAAAAAGAAAAGAGAAAGACCTTTGTGTGTGTGTGTGTGTGTGTGCGTGTGTGTGGGTGTAACAGGAGGAGTGCCAGTTAAAATGCCACAAGAATCCAGGAGAGTTTCCAGGGGAAGCGACTGAGGCAGGGTTGGGGAGACTGGGAGGAGCTCCGGCAGCGACTGGGACTGAGAGCGTTCAGAAAAGAGGGACAGATGTGTTTGAGTCTGCTGGACGGCCGCACATATACGCAGCTGTTCCAGCATAACGACGGGGTCCAAGTATCCAAACTTTTTCCAGACTTCGGTTTGGATTCAGACAAGTGGCTGGAACAAATATTTGACCCCTGAAAGAAGCGTTTTGACCTCGGTGGTTTTCGCAGATTTCACACTGTGAACAATAAAAGTGCATTCAAATCAAACTAGGACTGAAAGGATTAGTTAATTAATCGATTAGACGAGCAACAGAAAATTATTTGGAAGCTATTTAAAGTTTTTTAAGCAAAAATACCATAAATTATCAAGTTCTAGCCTTTTTAATGTGACAATTTGCTGCTTTTCTTTGTCTTTTGTGATATTAAATTCAGTATTTGGAGATTTTTAGACTGTTCATCGAACAATCAAACGCATTTAAAGAGGTCCGGTTTAGTTTCTCAAGTTTAATAAACCAAATGATTCATCAAGAGAATAGTTGATAGCCCTAAACCAATTGTTTGTTTAAGCATCACATTTAAAAGCACACACGACTACAACGTATGAAAAGAAACGAACACGGTGCTGCATTTGTGTAATCATTCATATGATAGCACTGAAGAGCAGATTTTTCCTGTACGTTGCTCACTCATTATGGGAGTGGCATCAGAAGAAAAACATGTGGATGACTCAATCAGATTTCCAACTAACCGTTCAGCCTGAGACACTATCAGATCTGGTGTTTCTTGCTTTGTAAAGAGGACCTATGGTTTAGTAATGTCTGAGGAGCAGGGCTGCTTTATTAGCCACGCTAGACATAAGGGAACACGCTGTTACACAAACAGTCCTGTTAACGCTTCAATAGCGTGCAACGATTCTCGTTCACCTGAACATTTGTTGCAAAAAAATAGATGAGAAGTGAACACAAAGCAGCCATTCAGAGTGTGGAGGTGTTGGGCGGTGCTGCAGAAGGAAGGCTGCCGGACCGGACAGAGGGGCCTCAGTTCAGCCACGGATGATGAACACAAACACCGAGTACCTTAACGTACCTTAAAGACCAACACTGATAGACGATATATTCAGATTTAGTCTGTTTGTGGCTGTTTTGTTCTGATCCGTTATCAAAATGTAATGCTTCAGTCTCACTGCAAAACACTGTGATATAGTTCAACCTCAAGGATCTCCACAGATTTGTATCTTTTTTACAGGTTTTGAAGAGTTCTGCTTTAAAAACAGACCTTTGTGGCCCCACGAGGAGCTGTGTGAAGGCTGATAAAGGTGCCTCAAATGATGTCACTTGAGTCAGCATCAGTTAAGGATTAAGAGTACAAGTTTGAAATCTAAAAGAATCTGGGGGTTGTAGAGTTAGCAAGTTGCTTTCTGGGTAATGTAGGCGCCAGGTTCAGACAAGAAAGAAGAACACGTAGAATAAAAAATGTTATAGGAGTGCATTTTTAAAAACACAAGTTCCCATACTGCCTTAAAAAACTTAAAGAATTTGTCTTTTTGTCACGACTTGTTATGATGAAACCAAAAAAGGTAAAAAAAGAATATAGTTTTAGTTTTTTATGTGTCGGCCTATGTCTTGGTCAGGTGCAGTGAGGAAGGTCTAGGAAGCTTTTCGAGGTACTGGTTGGCTGGATGGTGATACCTTTGGATAACGCCAGGCTAGCTGTTTCCTACTGTTTCCAGTCTTTATGCTAAGCTACGCTAATGGGCTGCACAGATACGAGAGTTGTGTCAATCTTCTCTTCTAACTCTCGGCGAGAAATCAAATAAGCATATTTCTCAAAATGTTAAACAAATCCTTTAAATTCCCTGAAATGCTTATTTGATTAAGTTCAATCAACATGTTTTACAGCGCAAAGTTTTATGTATTTTTTGGCATCTAAACTGGAAGTTATGACAATCATGGGACACAAAAACTATGAAGCCCATAGAGATCATAATAAAAACTGTATAACATCAGTCCTAGCAGAGGATTGGTTTTCAATAAAACACAACCCTCCCCTTCATATGTTGGTATAACTCAGGTATCCAGCCTTATGTTCAGCCCTTCTCACACATTACGTATGAAACACAGTAAAGCTCTTCCTTCCTAAAATACACACCGCAGAGAGGCTGCTCTGCTCCCGAGGGAGACAGTGGAACAAGGTCTGGTGATTCTTAACTGGGCCAACGTGTTGTTTAAATGAACAGCGCAAAGTTTCCAATGAGCACCGGACATCCCTTCTCTCCTCTGCTAAATGGCATTTTGGATCTGGTAGAAATTACAGCTGGAGGAACTGTTGTCATGGAGCCGAGAGGGAGGTCAACAAGAATGCAAACAAGCAGGCAAACAATCTTGATGTCGAACATTAAGAAGAAGTTGACCCCTCTGAAGCAAAAGCTTGAAGTCAACAGTTCATATTTTCACAGTTTTTCCTCATAAAATGAAAAATGAAATCTGTCTGTTATGACACTGCTGTCTTTAGTGACCTTCTCTTTCTGGAGAAACTCAGCAGACTGTATTAACATGGCCTAAATATGGAAAATATAATAAGTGGGTGTGATCAAGAACAAAACAGCACAGGAGAAAAGCTGGAACACGAGCACTCGACAGCACAAAAGAAATGAGTTTGGTGTCCTAAAATGTTGTTTTGCACAAAACAGAAAAAAAGACAAGCAAGAGGTTTGACTTTTGTTTATTCACTTCCTTCCAATCTGTGATCTCAAAATGCATGAGTGCAATATACATTTATAGCATAAGATACAATCAGCAGATAAATATAAAATTCAGTAAAATAGTACTCTAGTCGTGTAAACTGGATTTTAAATCTATGACACAAGTGGTACAAATCACTACATGCCAGCCTTTTTTTTTTTTTTTTTACCTAAAACACGTTTGAGTGCGTCTCACTTTCATTATAAATGCACACTAACTTTGCTCAGCACTAGTTTGAGGTCAAAGGTGACAGCTGAGAGGGGTGAGTTGGTGGAGAAGTGAATCCATACAGGACGTCTGTAACAGGTTTTCCGTGACTAAGTCTGAGCACTTCCATGGCCGTTGTTCCCTCCCGTTGTTTTTGTTTGGAATTGGCAGAGAGGACAACAGCCCGGTTTCCACTCTCTATAAAACCACTTTCTAATTCAATGGATGTGTGAAAGCTGGAAAATACATTCTGTGATATTCCTCTAAAGTGATGCAATGGGGGGAAAAGTACACGATAGTCCAGAAATTCCAAAACCAGTAGGAACACTGTCTGTAGTAACTGCACGATGTGGACCGGGTCTGCAGCACTGAGCACTACTGTAGCTCTAAAACTCTTATTCATAGGAATATATATATAGGTCAGTATAAATAAAAGCACATTGGAGAGCAAAATCTTCATAGCAAAAACAAACAAAGAAACAATGGATGAGTGTTTTGCACGGATGAATATTCGACATGCTTATCGTACAAACTATTTCCTCGCTTGCTGGATTAGTGTCTAAAACGTCCACGTGAAGGCAGCCGTTACCGTGCACTCACACTGTAAACAACGCCATCGACAGCTTCCCACCGATATCTGGATAATGTGTAGACCCCCCCCCGCCAGTTACAGTTAGTCATAGCACATAGAAAGATGCATTCAAATGCCTTTAAAATGCTTATTAGCAGACGAAAGGGGTAAAAAAAGACGACAGCTATCCCCGGGGAGCAGACTCAGCCGTGGCTAGGTTTGGTGGTTTGTGCTTCAGTAACTTTAATTTGGTGTTTCCGGACTTCTTCCAGTTCTTACATCACTGTAGGTAAATAGATAGCCATGTTAACGTAACACTGTACCGTTATGGAAGGAAACACCAAAGCAGGAAAAACGACATGTTTTGCCAAAATAAGTCAAAATAAGCCAACAAGTCACTTCAAGTGTCTCATATCTGGATAAAAGTTATATTATATTTATATTATATTATATTTATATTTATTCCTGGACACGTATGTGACTGTTTTTCTAATCAGGGTAAATCTCACAGCTCAGAGGAGCTCTTCTAAACTTCTAAACTTCAGGAGGTTAATTGATATTTGATAGCTAGCTGTTGTGCAAACTCAGAGCCAGAATTATGTAACCGGTTCAACCAAGCTGATCACAGTGTGAATGCACAGTCCGGGAGAGCACACGCACCGTCTGTGACTCTGTTTCTAGAGGGCAGGGGGGTGTCTGGCAAGACATTAAAGACCCTTGTTGGAGAGGAGAGGCAGCTTTTTTTCTAGCGGGGTGGTGGAGGGGAGAGAAACACCAGTGCACAGGCGGTGAGATAATGTCTTAACAAGCCACAGAAGAGAATTACAAGAACATAATGCGGTCGTTTTAAAGACTGGTGTTTGTTAAATCTAGACGTGGATGTCTGTAGTCATGGCAGTGTGGTCCTTTCTTTAGAGTGATGATGAGAATGATTCATTCGGAGCGGAGACCGGCCCCAGCTGTGGTTTACCAGTTGTCTAAGAAGTCAAATCCGGTCTTCAGGATGCTGCTGCTTGTGTTGAACTGAGGGAGAGAGAGAGGGAGAGAGAGAGAGGCTGTTAAACACTTTGGTACATTATGACAACACTATTAGAAATAACTGGTGTTCATTGCTCTTTTAACACTTGTACTCCTCTGCTGTTATTGGACTTCCTACAATGGATTTATTGTATCAGTATTGGCTGTGTTTCTATTTCTTTTATTATACCGTCCTTCTACCTACGGCTCGCTCTGCTGCCATTGAAGGTGATTAAATCTCTCTTTTAGCTGCTCACGTTGTCAACCATCTCTTTTCCCCTCGTGGTTTTGTCTTGTTAGGATGCTTTTACACCTAACCTGCTTTGGTTGGGTCTGTTTAGGCTGCTGTGAAAGCGGTGAATCGTTCTCTGCTGCAGACTAAACAGCCGGACGGACACTGAAAAGGTCGGTTTGGTTCGGCTCCAAACGGACTGCGGTGCGGTTCGTTTGTGGTGAGAAAGCACAGACAGGACCAACCACGGCCCTGTGTGACAGTGCGAGTGTGATTTTAACACTGTGGCAGTGATTCATATAAATTATGCAACAACATTTGGTAACCATGGTACCAGGATCCATCAGAGAGTGAAAGTGAGGTAAAACAGTGGTGTGTTACTCACTAACAGCTGAGTGAAACACATCGTAACCATCACTCATAATATCACAGTGTAAGATGCAGCGTCAACAGCCTGGACACCGTTGTAAATGTGCAACCAATCAGAGCCAGTTGGGGCGGTGCTCGGTGGCGGGCTGGTTGCTTACTTTCTCTTTTTACAGTTTAACAGAACACTAAAATGTGTTTCTGAAAACATCTGAGGTGAGAAACAGGTAACAGGAGCTCAGCAGGATACGTGAGCCAGACTACAGGTGTGAAAGCGACCAACCATTGTTACTGTGGGACTATAAATATACTGGACTCTGGAATCCATCGCTGCTGCCTTTCACAATATCCAAAGCAAATGTTGTACTTGTGGAAACTGTGCTCGTATCAGTTTCAGAACTCACCTGGGCAAAGGTGGGGCTGGAGGAGGAGCCATCCTCCCCCTCTCTCTCTCCCACACTGGCGGGGTGGTTGGAGGGCTTGGACATCATGCCGGAGGAGAAGACTTCATCCACGGTGTTGCCGACCGACGGCAGGGTGCTCTGAGACCGCTCCCAGCCCGCGACCGTCGAGGACACTCTGAGAGGCGGGGCTGGGTTTGGCGAAATGGAGATGGATGCCGGTGTTGCGCTGACAGCGACGGCAATGGGGACGGGGATGGGGACGGGGGGAGGAGGAGCAGGAGGTCTGGGTGCTCGCTGCTTGGTGGACCTGGTATGGGCTGGAGGGTGGGGGTCTACTGCCTCAGGCTCCTTGGAGGGGATAGAAGTCTCCTGTAGGAAAAAAAGATCATGTTTAGTTGCCATTTTCCCCCAGTTTACCCTTAAAATGAAATATTTCAGGATTTTGGACATTACACACAGTGTGTTTGAGATACAAAGAACAAATGTTGATGGTTTAAAGTTGCTCAGATATTGTTCAGGGGTCCAGTCATGTGTAAGAAAGTAAAGAAGGTAGAAGAGCGAAGTAGAACGATCAGAAACAGTCTAGTCATGATCGTTGCTTTCTTTTCTTCTTTTCTTTTTTAATGCAAATTGGCTGCACTCACCATCTGCTTCGGGCTGGATGCTATTCTAGATTACACAGCTCGATAAAACAAGAGCTGGGGCGGGAACTTACTTTCAATCTGTTGTTTGCTTGTGCCAACATGTACGAGCACCCGAACTGAAGACGGCGAAGAGAGAAACACACTTACCTGTCGGAGGTAGGAAGGGAGGGGTTTCTCTCCTTTCTCCAGGGATTTGATCTGGCTGGGGGTTAGGGACTGGAAGTCGGCCTGCTCTCCCTCCAGCCTGGACCTCTCGGCGCTGATCTTCCAGAAAGACGACTCCTCCTCTGGCCTCCGTCCCTCGCTGACAGACACCTTCACAATCACACAATAACACGATTAATCTGAACTGTCCCAAGATTAGGGGCCGTATTCAGAAACTGGAAAACATCTTAAAACCCTTAAAAACGTGAGGTAAGTTTATGGTTATTCAACGGGCGCCGGAGATACGCATCTGTTTATGCATCTAGCAGACTGTTGTTAACCAAACATAAGTTGTTAACCAAACATGAACTCTATTTTAATGTAGTGAAACTGTTCCTTTTCCAGTCCTCATACCTTGGTTCCTGGCGTGCTCTTGCCGAGCTGGTTGGGATGAGGAGCCTTTACAGCCTTCGGGTCTGCCTGCGAGGTCGAGATCTGCTGGTCTGCTGGGCCCGATGTCAAACTGAAATCCAGCTGGCTCTGAAAGATAACAACAATATCCTACAGTTCAGCTGGGCTCAACTCTACATGGGAACTTCAGACAGAAAATAACCAGCTATTAAGATAACGAAGATATAAAACCCAATCTGCTAATTTGTGGTTACAACATTCAAGTCCTGAAATGAGGGAATTGCAGACATTTAGATAAACAAATAAGCATTTCTCTAAATGATGAAACAACAGACATTATATGGATCTTACATGGGAGGATTGATATCTGGACTCATCTCACCAATCGTAATCTTGCAATACATCTTTACACTCTTCATATTGTGCTAAATTTCTTCCCAGAGTCACTCGTGTCAGACTTGAAACCCAACCTGATTATATTTACCTTTGTTTCCCATGAGAAGGGCGCAGAATGCTCATCTTGCCACGTAATATCCTAAACAGAGACACACAGTTAGTTACAGTGACAGTAGTTTAACACACTCAAAGCTTTCCTCAATAGCAAAGTAACCTATATATTTAAAACAGCTGACATTGTTTACATTGTTTGCCATAAAAAAAAAGCAACACCCTGTACTAACAAATATTATTGTTGTGTCTATAAATAGCAGCCTATTATACGTATATTAAATATACTGTGTTGTTTCATTTACAAACCACTAAACATAAACAATATATAAGAGACAATGCCAGGGGCGGATAGATCTACAACTGATGATATAATACTGATTTATTTTGATAGAGGGTTAAAAGGGGAAAAAAAGCCAAAATACATTTTCATATAAAAAAAAGGTAAAATCTGAAACAATATCCTGAGAAATAAAAGCACAAATATCTTTGGAACAAGAACAAGAATAGGGACAATACAAAACTATATTTTTTATATCTTTAGCAAAAATATTTTTGAGGGATAAAAGCAAATAATTGTTTTTAAAAGACCTTTTTTTAACCTAAAACATTAAAAGGTAGCCACTCCGACTATCTACGTATTACGTAACCACTGTACGTAGTGACGTCAACCTACATATTTCAACGGCTACGTGGCTAGTTAGCAACCATGACAACAGAGGCTATCCTGGCCTCTAAAAACACGTAAAAACGCCATTTAACACCCATTAAAATGAACTTTTAGTACCTCTTCCCCGAAGTGAACGATCTTCTGCCCCGTCGGAATGAGCAGTTTAGGGTAACAGACCACTTCTTCGCGGTCCACTCTGTGCATAGCGTATCGGGCTCGGATGTGGGGATCCATCATCCCGTTGTCGATGGCGCTGTCTTGCTCCTGCGGCGTCATCTTGTCCCAGGAGGAGCCGTGCGTGGCTTTGATTTTCTCCCGCTCCTGCATTATCTTCTTCGCCATGGAGTTGATGGAGGAGAAGTATTCGAACTTCTTCTCCTCCATCCTGTGGGCGTCGAGCCCCGCCATGGTTGCGGCGGCCATCTTCAGCTGCTCGCCGCTCCAGCTGTTGTTACTGTGGCGGAAGAGGAGGAAGCCGTTGGGGGTGGAGGAGGAGGCGGGAAGTCAGGGGGGCGGGAAGACGGGCACAGTGACGACCGTTAGATGTGTTAGTGGCGCCATCTTGTGGATTTCAGAGTGTGGCTGCTCCAACTGCAACCACAGTGCCGGACAGTAACCGTTAAACGTTTATATGAGGCAGTAACTGGTTACTAGGGTTGGGAGGAAAATATAATAATTTTATTACATTATAGGGAGTATTTAATAAAGTAATTTATATACTGAGAGTTAGGTTAGGCCTATAGCGAGGAGCAGGCAGTCAAAATCTGTTTGTATGTCGTTGTTTAATTATGTTTTCTGGGAAGGGCTGCGGACAGTTTTATGGATTTTTCCTCAAATAAATGATATAAAGTCCTTTCACCCTGTTTCAGCTCTGTTTTTGGTCCCCTCTGCTGTTTGGTGCTGGGTAGGCCTCGTAAACAGCGGGTTTATTATTAGTGTTTTTATTTGAAAAACTCTTACTAACATCCAAATGTACCTAGAAACATATCAGGGTCTTCAGCTTGCTAGAACTTTCTCTCTCCATCGGCTCTTTCTGCTGTCAGATAGTCACAGTACACAGGATTTACAATGATTTACTAAATACTTTCTGGTAATATTGATCAATATTCTACATTATTGGACTATTTTGTCTTTATTTATTCTCTGATGGGATTATCTGAATATAACCCACTCTACAGATAATCTTTCTGTGTCCACGTCAGGGATTTTTAAATGTTATTTCACTGATACGCAGAAACATAAATCATCATCAACAGTGAAACAAAAGACAAAAACATTTTTAATAAACACATCTTGTACATGTCAATTTATTTTCACAATTGCAAACACAAGACATATATTAAAATACAAAACATGAAAAAAAACATGTAATTATTTAATTATATAAATATTTACAGTTCTAAAAGTCATGGTCTGATTTAAATATTTAACAATATATTATACATATTATATATGAGAAACTGAAAAAACAAAAAACAAAGCAGCTTTTAGCTAAGGCAGCCATAGACACAGTGTTATTGATCCCGAGTACCAATTTGCCATTTGCCAATATTCAAGTTCAAAACACAATAAAACCACAAAAAACTCAAGTTAGCTCCTGAACCATATATTATATTGTTCTTGTGCATTTTAATTCATTATAAAGTTCATTAAAGTCTGCGAATTTGCATAATTTCCAGGATTTTTTTTAGCCTCACATGAATAAATAACTCTTTAAATGTGTGCCTTTATCTCTTCGGCCCCATTAGTCGCTCCTGGAGCTAAACCCTTCAGGCCGTGCTGTGACCGTGGAGGCTAAGCTTCTCGCTCTTCATCAGGCTGCCACCGTTCAAACGCGGGTGAATGGCGATGGCGGCGGACGACACTGCCTTCGACCTTCGCCTGGAAGCGCGGGAACACAGCAGGTGGAAGATCTCCGCCACGTTGAGCAGGAGAGAGACGCAGGACACCACGAGCATGAAGATGATGAAGATGGTCTTCTCCGTGGGCCGAGACATGAAGCACTCCACGGTGAAGGGACAGGGGGCTCGGGAGCAGACGATTCTCGGGTCCATGATGAACCCGTACAGGTAGTACTGCCCCACGATGAACGCCACCTCCAGAAGGATTCGGAAGAAGATGGAGGTCATGTAGGACCCCAGCAGGTTGCCTTTGATCTTGACGTGGCCTTTATCGTCAGAGTACTTGGGAACTTTGGCGAACTCGCCCCCCGAGTGGGCCTGCATGTATTCTCTCATCTTGTTTTCTTTGTGGATGACGTGGAAGACGTGGCCGAGGTAGATCAGCGTCGGCGTCGAGACGAAGATGATCTGGAGGACCCAGAATCGAATGTGCGAGATCGGGAAGGCGTGGTCGTAGCAGACGTTCTTGCAACCGGGTTGTTTGGTGTTACAGACCATATTCGACTGTTCATCGCCCCAAACCTGCAACGTTCAGACGAGGAGGTTAGTTTATATAAACACAGAAGAGGAAAAAATTGTGTTAATATTGGCGAAACGATGAACAAACAGACTACAAAACGGCAATCTGGAGGTAAATTGTTGTAGTTTTTAATAAAGAAACATTAGTTTTAGCAGGATAAGTCAGCAAAGAGAGGGTTATTCTGGGATAGCCTCCAGCCCCCCTGTAAAGCACTGGTTCCCAACTTGGGCGGTCCAAATCTCCACCAGGGGTCACCAAAGCTTCACAGGGCATCCCGAGGCGTTCTTGATATTAAGGGGTTTAGAGGACTTTAAAATAAATATACAGTAGGCCTAAATCTCAGAGTTTCTGCGAAGTAAATAAAAGTGGTTTTTATAATTTTAGATTATTTTGTAAGATTGAAAGATTCTCGCAGTTTAACAACCAAAGAGCTAATAGATCGACGGCCCAGCGTCAGGGAGGAGAAAACACTGAAGTTTATTAAGTCTGTATAATCGTTAAAAGTTTAATAAATACACAATAAAGACAGTTTATTGTAAAAAAAAAAGTTCCCTAAAAATATCTGATGCTCACAGAAAATTCATCCAAATCGCTCGTCTGACACAAACCTCCTGCAGTTATTGTGTCGACTGTTTAAGTTTATCAGTTGTTCTCTATATATAATATGAAATATCCATAAAATATGTCACTCAGTCGGTTTACTCAATGATAGAAAAGGTTGGGAACCAACTGCTTTAAAGGATTTTAAGGACGCAGTGCAGAACATGGATGGACAAACTGATTTAATAATAATTTAAAAATGTTTCAATATAACAAAAATGTTTTACTATTAATACAAATCCTGACAATTTGTTATCAAGCTGAATCTGGTTTTAAAAGCTCCTGTTGCTCAGCTGTGGACCTCCATTATGGCCACCAGGGGGAGTTAATTCACCTGAAAGACTCTAACGTCTCAGGAAAGTAACTCGAGATTCATCAGTTATAGTTAGTGTATAGTTAGTACATAGTATGAACAAAGAAGGAGACCTTATCTGCTCCAGCTCCGAGGACCATGATCCTGAAGATGAACAGCACACTGAGCCAGACCTTCCCGATGACGGAGGAGTGGGACTGGACCTTTTCCAGCAGCTTGGACAGAAAACCCCATTCTCCCATTGTCTCTGATCGGATGGAAACATTAATAAATCAAACATTATTATTAATCGGTGAATGATCTAAAACCTGAGACTTCTTTTGTTCTCCTTTAGTTATTTATAATATTGCTAATAGACAAACCCTGACATTAATACACAGATACTGTTCAGTTAACCAGAAATACAGTATGGAGACAAAACAATGGAAAAACCTATTATTATTTGCGGAATAGTTTCCAAATGTATCAATAGCAACCCTCGTAAACAATAATAAATTGGTATTGAATCTTTAAAAAGTTCAAATTAGTGAAAATGCATGAAAGAAATTCTCATTGTTATATATTTTGTTTTCCATGTTTCACAAAGCAGAAAAGTATTTAGTGTGCTGTGGTTTGTGATTATTGATTGACACTAAAGGTAAAACATTGTCAGCGACAGCAGAAAGTCTGTTTTGGTTCAGAGACACATTGTAAAAACAGTATAGATGTTCAGAACGTAAAGAGGCAGCTATAAAGTCACTTTCACGACAAAGATAAGGATGATAAGAGAGGAATTCATAGAGTGTATCCATAAATATAAATTTTTATATAAGAAAAAAAGCACTTTATGTGTTTGAAATTAACTTTATTTCATGAAAATTAAATTTAAATATAGATTTAAGCATTGACAAGAGTTATGAAGTCCAAGAAAATGTGGAAATATGTAGATAATATTGATCCCAATAGATTATGGACAATGCATCAGTCTGAACTGTCCATCACTGTCTGTAGAGCTTTTACTTATGTATACTTATAATGATAAACATCCATCCTATAACATAACCTATATGGTTGAGATTGTGTGTATCTTATTCCAAAAGTAACACAATGAAATACTTAAATTATCCTTAGTTTAAAATAAATAAAATAAGATAAAATAATCGCAAACCTTACCTTTGAGTTTTAAAAGGCCTCTGTGCAGACAAACAGACAGTCAGTCCCCCGACTGTGGAGCAGAGTGATAGAGAGCCGAGTGCACCGAATCAAACCTGCTACGGTACCTTGAACTTTAGATCAGATCAAATTGTGTAACACAGTGAGCTGTCACGTTGTCATGACATCTGGAAATCTCAAGAGGACAATTTTGGGGCTGAGCACTGACAAGATTGTTCAGGTTAATGATTGGCAGTTGTGCTCCTACAGCAGTTTTATGCCATTGTTAGTTATTATCACTGTGGGATCTTTGTAGTGATGTTGTTTTATAGTTAAACACCAATTAAACAAATCACTAAAACTTCTCCTCCTTTTGGTGTTTTAATGATCTTTATAGAAAGTATTTTGGTGAAAGAGTCGGGGGCTACAGGACACAGTAACCTAAACAATGAATACTACGTGAGAACAACCACGTTCATTTTTTTGTTGAGACTGTGTCAATAGAACGTTTTTTTACTTGCTCAAGCAAAGTCTGAACAAATGGAGCAAATCTAATATTATAAGCTTCACAATGATGCTTTTGTTGGAGGGATTTTGTATTGAATTGAAATATGTTGAGCAGGTCCTCGTGATTTTTATTGTGTAGCCCCTTTTATGGATGTATTTGATTCCCTGAATAAGTCATTTATATTGTTCATCTGATGTAATTGTCCTTATCTAAACTCACTGGAAACAGCGGTGGTGACTAATATCTCAATAACTCATCAACCACTCCCTATTCTGAAGACACAGCAAGCGACGATTAATGGATGAGTCACTCGCTAATTGATAGCAATTAATCATTGTAGTGATTTGTCAGCAGAAAGAGCTTTAGTTTTCTCACTCTTCTGTGATATTTAACTGGTAACTTTGTGGTTTTTGGACTGTGTTTGAGGTCAATATGGGCTCTGGGAAGCTGTGATGGACAATTTCAACTATTACACATGTAATCAGTTGATGTAGAAGCTGACTGGTGGACTAATTGATAATGAAAATAATAATAAAGTGCAGCAGAGGGTAAAAAAGTAAGGTGTTGTGTGAAGTTTAGTCCTGAATATAGTCACGAAACAGTGTTTTTATCCAAATTGAATCATTTATTAAAAACAAATACAGCTTACAAAAATATCTACCACACAGACTCAATCATCGTTATCATCATTCACTGAGTAAATTATTTATAAATCCTAGATAATGAACATGGCAATAAGTTAAAGGACACATTCAATAACTGGGCACAGATAGATTAACAAAAGAACATAAATACTTTATCAATATTGCACACTTTCCATTGTTAGATTTCCAGTTAAAGAATACAAAATAAATGTAAAATTCCCAAAAATGTGGCCCTAAAACCTTTTTATCAGCATGAATATCACTGAAATAAAGTTTCCCTGATGTTCTGTCGTGATTTACACACATATATAGTGAGAACTCTTCTCTTCAGTCTCTTTTATGTATCTGAACGAGGAACCGCGGAGGAGAAAACCTTTTTAATGACCACTCAGTAGTCGTTTCTCCTCTTTGGCCCCGTCCATGCTTCCTCCGATGCTCTGGCTGCTCTCCAGCTCTATGTTCATCTTGTTCTGCTTGAGTGAATCCTCGGCGGTCGGCCACCTGGGAGCCGACAGGCTGGCGGGGTTCTCAGCCGACGTGACCTTGTGGGTGCGAGCCCTGGACCCGCACCTGACCCGGGTACAGAGCAGGTAGAACACCTCGATGAAGTTGAGAAGCAGAGAGACACAGGCCACCACCAACATGAAGATGATGAAGATGGTCTTCTCCGTGGGTCGGGACATGTAGCACTCCACGGTGAAGGGACAGGGCTTCTTGGAGCAGGGGAACATGGGGACCATGACGAAGCCGTACAGGTAGTACTGGCCCACGATGAAGCCGGCCTCAATGAGGATCTTGACCACGAGCTGGGTCAGGTAGCTCCCCAGCAGGTTCCCCTTGATCTTCACCTTTCCCCTTTCGTCCGTGTATTTGGGCACTTTGACCAGCCTGGTCCCACCGGGGCTCAACAGCTGCTCCCTCAGCTTGTTCTCCTTCTGGATGATGTGCATGGCGTGGCCCAGGTAGACCAGCGTCGGAGTGGAGACGAAGATGATCTGGAGGACCCAGAAGCGAATGTGCGAGATGGGGAAGGTCCAATCGTAGCAGACGTTCTCACAACCAGGTTGCTGAGTGTTGCAGGTGAAACCCGACTGCTCGTCTCCCCAGACGCTCTCAGCACCCGCGCCCAAAACCATGATCCTGAACAGGAACAGGACGCTCATCCAGATCTTCCCGATCACTGTGGAGTGCGACTGGACCTTGTCCAGCAAGGTTGACAGAAATCCCCAGTCTCCCATCTTTTCTTGTTCAGTTACTGATCTGTGATAGAAAAAAAAGATAAAAGGAAATGAGTTTATAAGTTGGTTTGCAGCGATCGTTCACCACACCTTACTAACCCAAATATTAACCACGACTCAGTGGTCGATCAATAACGCTGCTGTTGGAAGAAAGACGCTCATTGTTCTTTTTAATTTAGATAAATCACCTTTTCTGTTATTGAACCTGGCTACTTGAGAGGTGAGAGGATCTCCTGAGCCAGTTGCTCAATATTTTCCTTCAATAATCATTCATCAGAATTTTAAAGAGAAAAAAAAAACAGACAAACTTAGTATCTTTACAGTAATTAGACACAGTCGAAGTAATAGGCTGGAATAGAGTAAAACTATGAAAGAAGAGAAATGGGAACATTTAAAAACCACCTGTATAACACAGTGATTATAAATAATAATAATACTAATAATAAAAATATTAAAAGTGTCTTAAAAGTAAAAAAAACATGAAAAGCAATCTGATGCCATCATTAGTTACACATGAGAGAATAAGACAATGTCACTAACATTCAACAGCAGAATAAAAAGACATCAATTTCTTACAAAAAGTGTATATAAAAAGAAAGAAATGACTCTACATTCCCATTACCTACAGTGCTATACAAACTATATTGAACTAAATGTTGGTTAAATTTGCCAAATGATCTGTTCTGTGCGGCAGAGAAGAATAATGGTTGCATCTTACCTGCTGACCCGGTCAGAAAGGACTGCGTCTGTTAGTCTGATAGATCACTAACTTAAAGTTGGACCTTGGAGTTTTTTTTGTGGAGGGACAGATGAGAGATCACGTTACGCAACACACATCTGGCACTGATGTCACGTTGTACCGGTCAGACCGAGGGGAAGGGGACAGGTGTGTAATAATTGACAGCTGTTCAGTATCGCAATCTTTCTCTGTCAAAGGGCCTTGAATGTTTGAATGTAAACAGATAAATAATAATCAAACAAGGATAAATAAAAACTACTGCTCATCTGTAAAATGTGTTTAATGATAAATAGATTTGTAGTTGTAGTCCTATCTGGGCCTAATTTGAATTTGGTGCATCACATTAAAAACATTTCATTGACTTTATTGTGAATTAATAATCAACCACTCTGGCACAAGACACTAGCTTCATATTTACCTTCTAATTAGTGTCAAAAAATGTCATTTCTGACTCATTAGTCTTTTTAAAAGTAATATTATAACTTTACTCATTACTCCCTGCCAACATTACTAGTATATATTACTTTACTTTTACAATTACTCCTAAAAACATTAGTAATTGTGACTGTTTCTCCCCAAAATTCAGACTTATGACGATTAAAATCCACTTTTGTTTGTTAAAAGCAAAGTAATGTGAATGTTTCCAGCATTTCCAGCTTTCAAACTAGTTTCCTCCACAATTACAAAAATGATTCCAAGGATGTCAAAAAAGTAATTATTTTTTGGGGATAACTATAATATTATTACTGTAATATTAGTAATGAGTTACAGCCCAACACTGCTCACTAAATATAAAACTATTTCTGTTCTCAAAATGACACAAAATGCTTAAAAGGAATAAAATGTTTGCTAATGGCAGCTTGTTTAAAAAGTACAAGAACATTCAGAAATATAAACTCTGCTGGTTCGTGTAGTCTCAGCGGCATATTAATGATTACAAAGTTTAAAACTGCATCAGCACATAATGAACTAAATGCTCTGTAAGCATTATGTGATAGATGAATGAAAGGCTGCAGAGGTTTGAAAATGTTGATTTACAGCAGAAACATGACCACACGGTAAGAAAAGGGACATCTGGAAAAGATCCAGAGGTTTTATTGTATAAAAAAACTGTAACAGCATCTAAAATAATCAATCAATTATCATCAGAATACAATCTCTACAAAGTGAAAACATGGTTAGTTATTTTTGTATTATGTAAAAAAGGTCACTGATATAAAGCAACATTTTGCATGTGACTGAGTCGTGTTTACAGAAGCTGGTTACTCCCCTCCGTCTTTATTTACTGCACACACACACAAACACACATCTTTCCTGACAAGCCAAAGCACACAAATACAGGAACTCAGGGTCGAATCTGACACGTACAACCTATCATCAGATGTGGACTTCCCCCATGTTGTTGTCCTCAGGCGACACGTTCTTTGCAACCTCGCCGACCCCGCCCGTGACCCCGCCCGTGACCCCGTTCACCCCCAGCTTTCGTCCTTGGAGCTCCAGCTCCAGGTTGACACAGTTTTGGATCATCTCGTCGCGGCTCTTAAAAGCTTTCCTTCCCGAAAGCGGAGGCGTCACCGGGGTCACGGTGTAGTCCTGCCTCCTCGCCATGCACTCCTTCACGGCTTTCACGAACAGGTAGAGCAGCTCGACCACACTGAGGAGGAGGGACAGGATTGCCGCCACCAGCATGAACCAGATGATCACCGACTTCTCCGTAGGCCTGGACAGGAAGCAGTCCACCTTGTGGGGGCACGGGAAGCGGGTGCAGACGTAGCGAGTCTGGAGGGTGAAACCGTAGAGAAAGAACTGACCCAGGATGAATAAGACTTCCAGGATGATCTTGGCCACAAGATGGAGGACATAACTGCGAAGGAGACGCCCGCGGATGCTGATCTTGCCGTTGCTCTTGGTGTACTTGGGAACTTTGTAGGTCCTCCTAAGGAAGAGACTGGCCTGGTCATCCAACATGGCCTGCTTCTTCATCCTCTCCTTCACCTTGGATCGGAAGAAAACAGAGTTACAGACTGAAAAGGTGAAAGTAAAGGACCTTTTTCACAGCAGGTTTTGGTTGCTTAGTAACGACAGGTGCGACGATTGAGCAACCTCCCAAAAGTCTTGTTTAAAAGGATAAAAAATGACATTTTCCATGCGTTTTTTAGATGCAACATCTAAACGGCCCCTTAATTTGCAACACCTGTGTTTACCCTACTAGTTCATGTCAAAATGACTGCTGTGAAAAAGGTCTATTAGCTGTACAAAGCAACACGGATGCAACCTTACTTACAGCAGAAGTTCAGGAATTTATGAGATAAAGACTCACTTAGCTCCAAACTGCACAGCGCTAACTCCTTTTTAGCCACATTTGGTCAAATATAAGACAACATGAGCAAACGGATGATCAGCAGGTGAGTTCAGGAGTAGTTTCAGAAGTTTTTATGGTCTTTTTTTTCTGCCATGAAACGTAGAATCATTGATATTATTTGACTTTAAGCAAGCTACATCCACTGTTCTTGATGACAAAATGCTATGAGAAGTGAGTTGTAGATATTGAAAAGGTCGATTTAGGAAGTATGAGTTTTACTTTAAAGTTGCATTAATCAATCTTTGGCCACTAGGGGAGAAATTGACAGACACACAACCAGCATATCTCACCAGTTAACAATGTGGTTATGGTTAAAGTGCCATAACTGGCTCATTCTGTTTTATTGAGACACACACACACACCAAACCCATCATCATCTAGTGATAAGCTACTACAGGTGTGGCATGCCTGGCTCCCCTTGTCACGCCATCATTCATACACCCACTGTGGTGACACACCTTCTTCTCAATGTGGATCACATGAAGGACGTGACCAAGGTATAGCAGCTTCGGCGTCGCCACCGCAAGAATCTGAAGGAACCAGAAGCGAACGTGAGAGATGGGGAAGGCGAGGTCGTAGCAGACGTTCTCACAGCCGGGCTGCCGAGTGTTGCAGACAAAGTCGGACTGCTCATCGCCCCACACCTACAAAGAGATGATACACAGTAACTTAACAGTGCACAATGTTTACTGCAGTTCAAAATGATCCTAGACGTCAAGAGCTCATGAGCTGCCATTTCTGACTTTTTAAGCCAGAGGTGTGTTGGTTAAAAGCACATTTCCTCTTCCTGCTACAGTGCATAGTTTCTACTCCTGAGCTCCATCTGCAGTGTGTTTGAATATGGTGTACGTATATATGTGAACAGACCCTGTCAGCGGCGGTGCGTAGGACCAGGATGCGGAAGACGAACAGCACGGTGAGCCAGACCTTGCCGATCACCGTGGAGTGGCTCTGCACTTTATCCAGCAGGCGGCCCAGCACATCCCATTCACCCATTTCAGTCTCCAGTTGTCCTGCCTTCTGTGTGTGGAGTATGAAAATGATCCATTATGACCCACAGACAGACTGATGCAATAAAAGGTTGAGGGAGTATTTTGCAAACAGAATTGTAGGTTTATAAATTTCAGTAACAGCCCTTGGTTGGACTTGTTGTCGTGATACAGAAATCATTGTAGGTGTAAAAGTCAGAACAGTCAGACTCTCTCACAAGGCCAAACTTTTACTTTATCATTTCTCAGAGTCTTGTGAGTTTTCTGATAGACGCCACAGCTGCTGATTCCAAGTCTCCAAAACATACTTATCTGCTGGAACCCAAAGACTTTAACCTTGTTGAATACCAACCATTGCACTGAGCCCAACCACTGATGTACAAATACACACTGACCTGCCTGCAGCTGATAAGGCTGCTAAGTTTATAGTACTGCATAAGCATTCAAAAACACTCCATTCATAGGTTTTTCTTTTACATCAGTGGTTCTCAACCTTTTTGGTAGTCAAGGATCCCCAAACTGACACACATCGAGAGGCAGATGTAGTCTCAGGGATCCCCTTCTGATCAGATTATTCTATAACTGAGCTGTAGATAAACAATAAAAACTGTGAACACAATAGTCATTATAATCCGTCTCTCATTGGACTAACTTCTGGTTAATTAAATAATAGTGAAATTAAAGTATTGCCCATTTTAAGGGGTCCCCTGCACCCCCGGTTGAGAACCACCTTTCTATATAATTAATAAATAGTTAATTTAGAAATCATCTTTTATAGTTCTTTTCTTTAGGCTTTTTGTTTTTGTGAGTAACTTTTACAACATCAAATGTTTGACTGGCAGCTTTTACAATTAGAAAGTTACATTTTATAGACATCACATAGATTAAGTGACTTATTTTATTTCTTATTTTCATTTAAGAATGTAATTTCTTGCTGCATTAAATTTCCACAACTACATAAATTCCAGTTTCTGAGCATGTCCGTGCACAAATATTCATCATTTTTAAACTATGTACGATACATTTATTGCATCGTGGATTATTACATAACAAAAGTCAGAGAAGTTATTCTTTTAAAATCAACTTACCGGTTGAACAAACCCGCAGAGAAAAAAGGTGGATGAAGCGAGAGAGACGTCTCAGGAGGACAACGAAGACAGGGAGCGAGGTAGAAGTCGTCCTTTTATTGTTTCCTTCGGCATCTTATCTGCAAGGATGGCCTCCCCCAAACCAAAAAACGGACAGTGGCTGCCAACAGAAGACAAACGGAAGGGAAAAGCTGAATAAATGGAAGAAGCGAATGCAGATGTTTGGGGATGTTTGGCTCTCAAATGTTGTGAATCAAACGTTGTGGCCTTTACAGTCACCAGTGTGTTTGGCAGTACGCTTCACCACCATTAAAACCCCAAATTATTATTATATTATTTAAATACAAAGTTTCACCACAAGGTCCATTTAGTAGCTCTTTTCTGGAGCTTTCTACCATATGACAGCAGATGGAGTTCTTTTTTCTCATCCATGACGGTTTAAAAGTTGACCTCGATCTTTTGACCCCCTTTTAATCACAACGTCTATTTACTCGTATTTCTGGAGCTTTTGACTTTTGTGCTGTTTATTTAAACATTTTCAGCAAGTGGACCAACAAGCAGCGAGTTTTATGTTCGCTCAGGTTCACTTGTCCACCTCACAAAGACTCTTTATTTTACTAATCTAAATTTGTCTACTATACTACTAACTATGCTCCATTAATTGTGGAATACCATTTTCAATGTATTCAACATTTTAAAGCACAAACTTATAACATCTTGTTCCTGTTAAACTTTTAGCTTTTAGTCTAGTATTTTTTTCTTTTTGTGTTCTGTATCTCTACCACTATTTAGATTACCACATATTTCTTTATAATTACGGCTTATTAATAGTTTCTTAGAAGGATAAAGGGAACTGTATCTATATTTCACAATATTTACACAACCCTGTGTTGTAAATGACAACAAAATAACTTTGAATATAATTTTAATTCCTGATGATATTCTGTATTTATCTGATTTATTTTGTACTGCTACTTTTTGTACTTTATTACTGGTGTTTTCTGGATTTTTATAGCATTTTAGGCTGTATTATTTGAATGAAAAGAAGCTTTATGAATATATATAAATGAGATATATAAATGCTTATTATGTATATTTAATAAGTATAACTATATATATGAAATGTTTTACTACATTTCCTTAATTTCTAATTCATTTTAGCATATTCTGATAAAAAAACTCGATGTAAACAATATCTGAATGCCTCTTAGGACACAGTCTGTGTGCACGATATTTACACCTACAGTATATTCACAGACACTGGTTTTGTTGTTTGATGCTCACAGAGCAGCAGGTTTACTCTGCACCTCACGTGCATCATCTGGTTTACAAACAGTCTCTGACCTGGCTGATCCGAGGGGGTCACAGGGTGAACTCAGGCAGCCGGCGTGGTGCCTGTCCATGGACGTAAATGATTGACACCAGCTTGACGTTTTAAGAGAAAAACAGGGCGTTTGTGGCCTTCAGCGTATAGATAAGTTATTTCATATATACTATACTATATATACACACCGGAAACTAAATGCCTTCCAGTCAGATAACAGACTAATCTTCACAGACAGACACTTTTATCTAAAACCTTTATAATAGAATATAAGAGACAGGACAGTATGAGGATGGAGGAAGAGTTTTATTGGTCTAAGTTTGTGCTATAGTGACACATTATCATATTTAAGTCAACATTTGTATATACTGTACTGTATGTGTAACCAACAACTCAACACAATATACCTGAATGTCTTCACATTTTAAATATAAATACTCATTTTAGAGCAATATCTACATATACTCAAATATAGTTTGTCAGTAAAACATCAAAATCTCACTCTTTCAGTGCATTTCAAATTCACTCCTGGAGATGCTTGAACCTTGTACTCGGAGCAAAGTCACCACATCCACCTAAAACTATCGTTCCACATTCACCACCACACACTTATTTGCTGTAAAACACTCTTTTCTTTAAAGAATGTATACGTATAAAACCTCACTGGCAAGCCAATTAAGCTAAAGGCATATTCACATTGCAAGAATATATTCAGATTTATGCTTTCCTTTGGTCACAATTTAAGTTAAATGTGTCCTTTGCACCTCAATTAACATATTTTCTTCTACTTGAGTTATATTATTGCAAAAAATACACTTAAATTACACTTCAAGCAGCTACAAGGAACTTTCACTTTCTTGATTATGGCGACCCCTGTGGATAAAATCTGTTTTTTGTGTTTCTACAACCTCAGGAGTCCAACTGAATCCGACCTGGTGGCAGAAATTAAGAAGAACTATAAAGAAACAGCCAATCTTCTCCCTGATGGTCTTTATGCAGGTCATACAGAGGGTTCAGTCTTAAATTAACATTGTTTCACACAAAGTTAAAAACTCCTTGTAGTACTTTAAGTAATTTAATGTTATCTGCAGCTTTTGCTCAATCAAATATAAATAGGTTTAGAAGAATGATCCTATCTGTCTGTTTAATTTAATGATGTTTGGGTTTGGTTCTGGGCTGAACAACCATTTGTTCTTTGTGTGTATGTGCCTCATATTGTAGGCGTGGTCACACAGTGATGGTAGAAAGCAGGTACAACCAGAATGAACTGGAAAGTCAAATGTCAGCACACAATAAGCACAGAGAGCATTCATAACCCAAATCCTTTAGGATGGAATTACTACAGGATACAGGTTAGGTTAGAATATCAGTAGTTATTACCTATATTTATATTTATGTGTTTGTTTATTGATTTGTTACCCTGCCTCATGATTATTATTATTATTTTCTGGTTGCAGCTTTATTCTTGCCTTTGTTTTAATGTGTTATTTTTGATCTTTTGATCTCACCTGTACATCTATACTGTGTGCAACTTGTTTGAACAAACAGAAAAATAAATTCTACATTCTCTTGTATCTTTTATATCTTATGAACCAGGCCTTTATGATCCACGTTGGCCACCATCTGAGTGGAAATATCTTATCAAGCATCAAGTCCAGGCACCAAACCAAACGATTATTATGCTCCAATAATCATCAACGACCTTAAAATCTTAAAGCCAAACCCAGTTTTCAATGGCAAAAGACATGTAACGTCAGGTTATACGTCACACTATAGTAATCTTTATATATATCCATTCATTATAATTCCACTGCAACTTCCCTCGAAAGTGGTACCATATCATTCGAATAAAACCTCTGAACCTCGACAGAGCCTGAGAGTTGAACAACTTGACACGGATGGCAGAAGAAACTAAAACTCTACACTGACTCCAGTAACGAGAAGCTCCAGTAAGGTGGGTTCAGTCTTCAGCGAAGGGAGCAGAGAGGTTGAGCTCTTAGCTCGAACTGACGAGCACACGCGCTCCGAGAACCCAAATCCACTCCGGGATACATCTCATCAGTCCGTACTGCGAAGGAAAAGAGAAGCACATCATCACACAGAAATGTTTCAGATTCAGCTGGAAAATATGTATCAGTGACTTATTGTGTGTCCCGACCTGCAGTGTGTGAGGCCAGTAGCCGGTGGTCCTGTTAGAGACGCCCAGGGTGGAGATGGCGTGGCGAGCGTAAACCTCCGGCTTCGGTGCGAACCAGCTCGGTCTTGATGAAAATGGTTGTCGCCCACTTGATGCTATCTGGTGACACAAACAGAAATACTGTATATATAAAACACACTTTATACTCAGAGAATAAACTGATTTCACCTGTCAGCTAATTAATAATAATCACCTTTAATTACAGAACCCATGTGACATTATAAGCAATAAACAATACATACAATATACACTCAGCTGCAGTCTGTATTACAACCTACATGAAGGGCTGAATGTTATAAAGCTTCTGTGTTTATTCTTTTATAGAGATTAAACTTTATGGCCATTTTAGAGGTTGTACTGTGGAGCCTACATAAAAGAAAATCCCTTTATGACATTAATGAAGGGTTTACTGCAGGTCTGCTTTACACACTGCTTTCGGTGCTTGACACAGTTTGGTTGCCACCAATGAGTTCGGTACCCATATCAATGAAATCTACCTGGAAAGGAATCAGACTTTGGACAAAAATCCCTTTGCCGCTGTACTCGAGGTGAAGAGCTCTTGAGAAATGATCCAGGTAGCCCTGAAAATGTCAGGAGCAGAAAGAGAAAGAGGAATTAGAGAAAGAGAGAAAGAAAGAATGAGAGGGATGCAAACACGTTAGCCCTGCCCCTGACACATGACCCTCACAGTTTAGTTGGATTTTTACTTTCTCTGCTTGGAGATACGAGCATTAATCAACCTTTTTGGGACAGAGGCATTTTATATTTCTCGTTACAAATGTGTTTTTTAACTCGATGCCAAATCAAAAAAGTGAAACAGATCTGCTCTCCAGAGGTTACAGATGTGTATCTCCAGGGCTTTGTCTCACAGTGGAGGCGGTGAGTGTCACTCTTCCAGGCAGGGGTCTGCAGCAAGCACCCGATGATATATTGACCACAGCTCCTCTGCAGCGCTCCACCATCCCCGGCAGCACCAACCGGGCCATCACAGTAGCGACCGCCACGTTCTTATTCACCGAATCCAACAGGGCCTGCTCGGGGATTTCAATCAGGCTCCGAGGGGAAACCCCAGACTCGTCCACGCAGTTCACCAGGAAGCCGATGTCTTTACCCCGCATGGCTTCTTTGATGGGTTTGCTGGCCGCCTGGTCCAAAGAGAAGTCAGCCAGGACCACAACGGTTTCCACGCCGTAGCTCTGGGAGAGGGATGCGGCGGTGTCTCTAACAGACGTGTGGTCCTGAGTGACAAAGATGATGCTGATGCCGTGCCTGGCCAGCTCCTCGGCGTACGCTCGGGCCACAGGGTCTGATCCACCTGAAGAGAGAGAGAGAGAGAGAGAGAGAGAGGACAATAAATACCAAACACCAGGAAGAAATGAGGATATAAAACAGTTTTTCCTGACTCCGGCTTCTCAAATGTAAAGAAATGTCCTCAAATTTCATTTTTTTCATTTAAATTATTAAAAAAACTGCAAAATTTTTGTTTCATTGCAACTAGTTTTGTGCAACTGACTGTTAAAACACCCAAAGACACGAAACAGAATCAAGTTTAAGAAGCTGAAACCAGCCATGTTTGCTTGATAACTAACTGCTGGCTCTCAGTTTCTTATTGATCTGTTAATTGATTAATTGCTCAAATGATAGCAGCCCCTAGCTTTTTGTAATTAGGTTAAATGTGATGATCAAATCCCCACCCCCCCCACCCACACACACACACAGATCCACAGCAGCATCCTGACTCCTGATGGTTTTATCCTCACCATAAATAACAGCCCAGTCACCAAATCTCTGGCTCAGCCTCTTGCTGGGGATCATCCTCGGCAGAAAGTGCACCCTCACCAACGTGCAGCAGTCTCTGAGCAGGATTACCGCCCTGCTGGCCGTGTACAGAGCTCCCACCAGGGCCAGGGTTTCGAAGTAAAAACTGCACGACCGAGAAATCTCTCTGTACAACAACTGAAAGCTGTCAACAGCCGCCATGGTCGCCGCTGTCGAGTGAGTGAGGTCTGTGTTTATAAACCACGGTGCGTTCACTGGTGGGTCGGCTGAGTGGGGGAAAACACGACGCTGTGTTTCTACATCCTAAACGTCTGAGGAAAGTGGTGCGGGGTTGGACAGACAGACAGAAAGTACGGCAACCCGGCAGACGGAGCAAAACATTGAGTCACGTGATTGTGTGCTTTCTGTGGCGCTGCATTCAAGAGCACTGAGAAAAAATCCGTTCAAATAAGCTTTAATAGTAACGCTTTTTTTTTATAGCGGTATTAACATTCGTGATAGTTGAATAATATTAAAGCGATTGTATGATTTATTACATCTCCACATTCTTTGTTATATTTAATATATTTATATATATCATTATGCGTATCTGACTGTGTGAAGCTCATATTTCCGACGCGTTTGAAGGCGGCGCTTTGTCATCAAACATCCCACAATGCACCGCACTTGACGCTGAAAAGTGGCCGTTTCCATGGAGACGCGGCAGCCGAGCGCTAGCAGCATGCTACCTGGATGAAGAGCTGTTACACATCCCAAAAACAGGTGAGTTGTTTTAAAATGTGTTGAATACGGTTTATATAAAGTTTAGTAGAGCCCGGAGGTTTCACTGGTTTTCACTCAGCTGCGCTTTCTGTTTAAATTCGGGCTGTTTTGCCGCTTTTAGCCCGCCGGGGTACAATGGTGCACTTAGCATCCACTGGGGTTAGCTCCAAAGTGAAAACGTAAATATAAAATAATATAATATATAACATATATATAATATATATATAATAATTAGTTTGGGTTCAAAGCAGAGACACATTCATTAATTGTTGCTGTTTTGATTTTTATTTGTATATTTGAGAGGAAACGGCTGTTTAACATTAACGTTAGATAGTTCCTCATGAAATAACGTTACCTTATTTTCACTATAGAAACAGCTGTTATATATTATTATATTATATATTATTATATATTATATTATATTATATATTATTATATTATATTATATTATATTATATTATATTATATTATATTATATATTATATTATTATATATTATATTATTAATTATATTATATTATATTATATATTATTATATATTATATATTATTATATTATTATATATTATATCATTATATTATATTATATTATATTATTATATATTATTATATTATATTATATTATTATATTATATTATATTATATTATTATATATTATTATATAATATAATATTATATTATTATATTATATTATATTATTATATTATATTATATTATTATATATTATTATATATTATTATATTATTATATATTATATATTATTATATTATTATATATTATATATTATTATATTATATTATATTATATTATTATATTATATTATATATTATTATATATTATATATTATATTATTATATTATATTATATTATATTATATTATATATTATTATATATTATATATTATTATATTATATTATATTATTATATTATATTATATTATATATTATTATATTATATATTATTATATTATTATATATTATATTATATTATATTATATATTATTATATTATATTATTATATTATATTATATTATATTATATTATATTATTATATATTATTATATTATATTATATTATATTATTATATATTATTATATTATTATATTATATTATATTATTATATTATATTATATTATATATTATTATATATTATTATATTATATTATATTATATATTATATTATTGTCACACTTATTGGTGATGAACTGACTGAGTACAGGTTACTTTGTGATATTCAGGAGTAAAATGATCTGTTGATGTGTCCTATAAACATAAATTATTAACTTAATGTCTCATAAAGCACTGGTTCACTAACCCTTTCACCTTAAGGGACCCCTTTTCTATCATTCCCTGATACCCTGAATAATATTTTACAGATATTTCATGTTATATTAAAAACTGCACAATGAATCCAAACCGTGAGCTCCAGATTATTTCCTGTTTAGGGAACTTTTTATACAGTTTTCTGTCTTTATTATGTATATTTTTTCACTTATTTTTTGATAATCTTACAGACTTAATAGGCTTCTGTTGATAAATTCACTGTTTTCTTGTCCTTGACACTGTTATTGTTCTATTAGACCATTTACTGCTGAGATATTGACCTACTGTATATATCTTTAAGTATTATTACACCCTTCAAAATCAAGAAGACCTCATGACCCTCCATGAAGCTTTGGGGACCCCCCCGGTTGGATGAAGGATAGTTACAGTGTGGATCCTTATTTGTGTGTGTCTTAAGTGTAACTTAAACAAAAGACAAACATCCCTTTTTGCACACAGTTGCATTCAGGAACATTTCCATTAGCCTTAGAGACCGGTAGATTTAGGTGAAACTGAGAATGAGTTTTGCTGTCCTGTCTTGAGTTAAACTTCAAATATACCTATTATATTATAAGGAAAAACAAACTATCAAAGCACAAAGTTGCTGCATGTAATGTACAAGTTAATTTTTAGCTGTAAAGACAACAAACTCAAATATATGTCCCTTTTTTTTTTAACTAAAGTTGTCTGTCAAACCCTGGGTGACACTGTATATGGTACTGGCCCCTCCCCATCATACATTTACACATTTATACTCAGTAAACTCTATTTCTGTCCCATCTTAAGGAGCAGCTGTAGACATGTCTCAGTTGTCGGCTGATGACGAGGTGGAGTTGCAGTCCCTGCTCAGACAGCTTCTGAGAAGCGTCGACGACAGGATCTCTGGCGCTCCGTCGACCGAATGTGCCGAAGAGATCCTCCTTCACCTGGAGGAGACTGACAAGAACTTCCACAAGTAAGTCTGTGAGAGCTAAATATTGTGGCAGCAGGCCCCATATAAGTGGAATAAACCCCCCTGTTGTAAGTATTTGTTTAATAGTCAGCAATGAAGGCATTCACATATACCTCAATGCTCTCCAGTTATGAGTTTGTGAAGTACCTCCGTCAGTACGTGGAGAGCTCTCTGGGGACCGTGGTGGAGGACGAGACCAAGAACTTGACCAGAGGAGATGGACAACATGCAATAGGCTCGGGTCACGACACCTTGATCCACGCCGTCACCCGGAGGACCAGAGACTCAGCTGAGTGAGTTCGGCTCAAACAAACCTCTGAGCTCGGTGGAGAATCTGACTTTCTTATCGGGAAGTTTAAGTCTAAATTCCAAGTAACACCCTGCAGTGTTTTTTTTTAGATAGTTTAATATTCTGTGATAAGCAGCATCCAATGACAATGATATAACTTTAGCTGTAGCTGGGTGGCAGTTGTTTATTATGTAGGTATTTACAATTTTCTGTTTCTTTCTTGTGTTTTTTAAAATTGGAAAACTGCGATACCCCGCAGTATAGCAGTTAATGTGGAGTTTTATCTTTTTATTTTTGTAGAATGCAATAAAATAAAAGTAAACTAAACGAAAAGTTGTGTTTCTGCTGCATCATACACCTGAACCCGTCACAGAACAGAATAAACAAAACAAATCAGCTGTTATGGACAGGGGGTTGAGCTATATGAGTCTGAAACAAGGCGACATTAATAATACACTAATGCACTTCTTTCTGTGTTCAGGTACCAGCAGATGATGCACACCTTGAAAAACACCATGATCATGGTGGTGGAGTCTTTAATCAACAAATTTGAGGAGGACCAGATGAGGAAGGAGGAGATGCAGCAGCAGCACAGTCAGTCCAACAACCAGTACACTGACAACTGCTCCGACAGCGACTCCTCCTTCAACCAGGTCAGAGACACAGTAGATTCACTCTGAAGGCAATAGATTCTTCCATTTTATTAATTTATTGCCTTTGTTAAGTTCCAAGATTGTGTCTTGGCAACAGTCTCTGGATGGCATTGGTCACAACTGCCGTTCCTTTTCCACGGTAGAATAAATGTAGATCCACCCAGTGACCCCTGAACCGTCTGGTGTGGTGCCATCGGACAGTGAAAGCTCTTTTAAAGTTTGGTTTATGGAGGATCATAACATTCTTTGATTCGTGTCCATTTTCTTTTACAGAGTTATGCTTTCATCAGACAAGAGCAGCTGCAAGCTTTGGCTGAAAAACTCGACTCCAGCAAACCCAAAGAGGTAGAGAGGCTCACTTACTTAAGTAGACATTATGGTGGTGAACGTTGCTGTTGCATTGCACGGTGTATAAGCAGACATATTCAAACATTGCTTTGCTTAAAGGGGATGTAACTGTGTGTGTAGGTGCGTTGGGAGGCTCTTCAGGCGCTCTGCTGTGCCCCTCCGTCCGACGTGCTGAGCTGCGAGAGCTGGAGCAGCCTGCGCAGGAACCTCTGCGCGGCGCTGACCGACCCCGACCTCAGCGTGAGTCCTGAGCAGCCTCATCCACTCAGTAGTGTAGCAAGCAGTGTCTCACTCAAATTCACCTTTAATTCATTTACAAATGAATCAATAATAATCATGTAATCCTTATGAACAATTTCAGGCTTTTATAATTAGTGACAACAAACACAAAACACGTCTCAAACAATCTGCCACAGCTGCTTTATTGAGGAGAAAACAAGACAACACCAATTATTATTAAGTCCCTAATAATTTAGAGCTGATTGGTAACAAAAGTGCAAGCTGCTCTCAATAGAGGCTGCAAACCTTTTATTGAGTGATTATCTTTCTTCTCATTATGTTTCTCCATCAGGATCATGTTCTGCAGTTCTTTGCCAAAAGCTTCTCCTCCTCTCCACTGAATGTGACACGAGAGATCTACACCAGCTTGGGTAGGCCAATTCTGAATGGACGACATCTGAGTGCATGTGCAATCCTGCTAGTATTATCTAGTCATGCAGACACTGTAATTTTGGTTTTAGGGTACAAGATTATGTATAAGAGATCCATCTCTCACCCCGATACAATGCAGGTGAATCCACAGACCGCACTGATAGTGGAATCAATGGAATTATTTTATACTGAATAAATAATTCACAGGCCTCCATGTGGACAGTTTTCATTGGGACTATGTCGTTTTAGATTTGGATTCTTTTACAATGTCTTTGAATTGTTAAATTAAGAATATTATGCTCTGTGTATATCCTGCATTATGTATGTGACCACTAATATTACCTTTTTTTTGTCTTTTGGTGTGCAGCTAAAACCGTGGAGTCCAGTTTCCTGTCTCACAA